GTTTACAGAGCCAGTAGTTGCATATTTACTTTTCCGGAACATTATTCAAAACTGTAATGGTGACTAAGCCTTGGCTCCTCAGTCCCTGCAGCCACAGGGAGCACAGGATCCTGTGCAGGTTCAGCTGCAGGCTGCGTGTGAGGCTCCTGGGGAGGTGCTGGGTCTCAACAGTTTCATACTGTGGCTTTGCCAAAAGATGAGGCCCATCGGTCTTGCTTCTGGTGGCTCCTCTCCTTGGTGAAGTCGCTTTGACCTTTGCTTAGCTGTAGATTTCTGGTAGGATTTTTAAGAGGATTTAGTCATATTTTTCCCTTTGCATTCAACTCTGTTTTCTTTGGGCAAAAATAGGCATCTTCAGGTCTTCACTCCTGATATGTTCCCTGCCAACACCTCCTTGTGCTCAGCCCCAGTCAGAGAACTGGATTTGGAAACACCTGAAGGGACACATCCTGGGAAAGGAAAGCATCATTACTAGGTCTTGGAGCAGGGAAGATATTTAAAAACCTCAGCCAGATTACGAAGTTGAATTACGTAAGACTTGAAAAAGTGCAGATTGCCTTTTTTCAGCTAATCTGTCAGCCATCTGCTGGCTTGCTGTTGTTTCACAGCAAATACAAGCTGCTTTAAATTGCTCTTTTAAAGTTTTCATTTAATTCTATTTAACTGAGTGTTAACTAGTTCATTTGGTGTGTGCTTAATTAGGTGATAGTGCCCAAAGAAGGTCCCTCAGCGTGCTGTACTATGTGCCTCCAAGCCCCCAGGCTGCTGGGAAGGAGGCAAAAGAGAACCCCTATATTAGTGGATTTATAAACTCAGAAATATGCTATAAACTCATCTTCCTCACCTGTCTGCCTTCAGTTCTGCTTGCACATGTTCTACTAGGTTTCCTTGGCCTGGTGCTGGTGCTTGGAGGGAAGCTGTGCAGATCCAGTTATTGGGCAGCCAGCAAGCTGGCTGCAGTGAGAAACATCATAAATGTCACTTATTTGGAGGGCTGCTCTGCAGCTACGAGTCACTCCAGCTATGTCAACCCTGCACCTATTTATAACCCAGCAATCTGTCACTGGGGGCTTTCTGCAGTTCTTTGCTGCGTGCCACATGGGTTGTAATGCAATAGCTGGATTTATTATAAGATTTCCTCTACCACTCTTTAGAAATGGCAGGTGCAGCGTTGGTAGAGCTCTGGTAACAAAGTGCAGGTAAGGAGGGAAGCACCTGGAGGGACAGGAAACTTAAGTTATCTGTACCTTTGCACCGCTTGGATTTCAGCTGGGGCTGAATATTAAATATATTCATGGAGATATGTCACTTTTGCAGCAGTGAACTATTGCAGTGTACTCTTACATATTTTTCCTTTTGAAATATAGATAGAGGATGTAACAACGCTGTCTGCTCCTACCTAGGGAGTATGCTGGAGGCTTTGTAAATCAAACCTCCAGTTGAAGTTGTTCGTAGAATCACAGAACTGCTCAGGTTGGGAAAGACGTTAAAGATTATCAAGTCCAACTGCAACCTAACCAAGCTACTCTCCCTCTAACAACCCTCTGCTAAATCATGTCCATGAGCACCACATCCAAACAGATTTTAAACACATCCAGGGATGGTGACTCAACCACCCCCTCAGGGAGCCTATTACAGTGCTTGACTATACTTTCTGTAAAGAAGTTGTTCCTGATATCCAACCTAAACCTCCCCTGGCACAACTTGAAGCCATTTCCCCTTGTCCTATCACCAAAGGATCTTGATCTTGGGGGGAAAAAGTGACTAGGATGGAAAAAAAAACAACCCAACAAGCATGACCACTTTCATTGTGAAGGTTCGTTCTTACATGTTCTGCCAAATGCAGGTGAGACTGCTGCTTAACTGAAATGAGATTTTCTCTTCCTACAAACCTACTGAAACTGTAGCTTCTGTGCAGCATGAAGGAAAGACATAAGACCTGGCCACTCAATGGGTGTTCTACACTGTCTGCAGTTAAATGCTCTTTTCAATCTTTGGCAGCTTTCTTCATACTGCATCAGTGGAATCAAAGCTGATGTGTGGACTTGTCCAGACCAGAAAGAATCCTTCACAGCTGTTTTTAACCATCTCCATTTCTACGAAGCAATGAGTTGAAAGGCAATATTTCTTGCATTTCTTGGGTGAAGTGTGCCATACAAACAAGATAGAAAACTCTTAAATTCTGTTTCCCAGTCGATAAGCATTCACCTTGCATGTCCCCCACATTTGCTGTGCTGTGCAGAGCACTGTGCTCTGAGTGATGCTAATTATGCCCACCCATGCCCAGCTCAGCTCCCATAGACAATGCTGCAGCTGCTGCAGTCCACAGTAGTGCTCACTGATGCTTCCAAAACAGGAACCCCTCTGGTCCAGGAACAGCTGGGCATGGCCCCAGCTCTTGTGCTGAAGGTAGACCCTCATGTGCAGTGCCCCAGGACATGGAATATGTTGCACCTATTATTGGCTGTGACTTGGAGCGATGGCAGCTTACTGGATATCTCCCACGTGAGACTTAAAGGGTGAAGGGTAGGCTATTTCGTGTAGTGCTGGCTGAGGGACAGCTGCAGCTGTCCATGCCTGCCATATTATCTGAGGAAAGGTCCTTAAAAAAGGCAACACAAAACAATGCTCCTTGATTTCTCTTTTTATAAGCCAAAGCTTATAGGCTGAGTGTAAATTTGAAAGGGGCGATGACTGTTGGAGATAGTCTGGGGGCAAGAACCTCAGGGGAAAAAATGCTGAGTCTGGGATTTGACAGGAGGAAGATGATGACATTGGAGAACTTTGCCTGGGGGGGAAATGGAGGGGCTGGGAGGGGTACATAGGGGCAAAATTGAGACTTGGAAAAAAAAACTGAGGCAGGGGATGAGTAGGGAGGAGGGACCTGAGCGCTTTATAAACTGGCTCTGAAGTGGGCTGTGCCCTTGTCCTCTGCTGCTAGAAAGCAGCTGTGGAGACTTGTGGGGTGACCTGGGCCTTTGCATCCTCTGCTATGCACCATGCTGGTGGCCCTCTGCAGCTCTGGGGCAGGTATCTTCCCTCAGGTGCTCGTGTCTCCCTAAATCTGGTTTTCAGGGCCAGGTGTAGGGTTCTGTGAATGAACAGTGGCATCATTTGGTCACTGAGATCTGGGAAACACAGGGTGTGGGAGGAGAAGAGGAAGGTATACCTCAATAGCTCCTTGTTGAACAAAGTATAGGCCAGGGAAAAACAAACAGAACAGTATGGCACCGCGTAATTAGAGAGTCTGTTATAATGGACAAGGATGCCCTAATTCCCCCATCAAAGCAACTTTAAGCACTTGGATTCATAGCACTGGTGCATTTTTCTGTATTATTGGACATAATGTGGCTGTGAAATGCAATACACCAAATGAGGACAATTACTTCTGCCCACCTTGTAAATTCTTAATGAGATTCCAGTTAGTAAATTGATGTCCTGCCCTTTGAGTCCCCTTGTGCTTATTCTCTGGTATGATGCAATTCCACTTCAGAACGGGTTTCCAGCTGCAGGGGAACCCAGGCTTTAATCCAAGCAGGCATTCTGACCATTTCTCCCATGACACCTCTGCAAGGCAAATATTTTTTTAATTTAGCTTTTCAAGGCAGACAAAGAAATCTGTGAAAATACGATCCTCTCAGGGGCATGATGTCATTTGTATTGTCTCATAAGATGTCATATGGTGTCATAAAATGGCAATTCATGGTGTCCTGCCAGGTGCAGCAGTGTTGTGGTTTCCTCCCACCTGTGAAGACTAAGGCTGCAACTAAGAGCCCTTTAGACTCTGAGCTGGGCGCTGAGGAAAGGGTGCAGGAGCACAAGTTGTAAGAAGCTTTAATGAAGATTTTATGCTCAGCTTTAATATTCCCCTTTCTTCCTGGTCTGCCACTGCCTAAAAACTTTGTTGTCTAGAACATGGGGAAAAAGGTGTCACATAGAGTTGAATGCTGAAGGTGTGTGGAGAAGGGACTCGGTTTGCCATGTACAGGTGCTGGAGGGATCCAGCATAGCTGCTCATTGCATTTAACAGGCATAAGGACTGAACTCAAACATAAAACTGTTAGAGATTGGCAGAGGGCATAGCCCCAGTTCTGGAGTTCAAGGGGCACTTGGGCAGCGCTCTCAGTCAATGGGTTTGGATTTTGGGTGGTGCTGTGTGGAGCCAGGAGTTGGATACAGTGATCCTCATGGGTCTCTTCCAGGTGGGAGTATTCTATGAAACAGTCAAAGATTGATCTGATCCCTATTTTGATAGGGTTTAAGAAAGTGGTTTCACTGTGGTGACCCCAGGAAGAGGGTCGCATCTCACCATGGCAGGAATATGGACTGGACTGTTGCCCCTCTTCCTGGCTACGTCTCTTGCAAGACTTCTGTGGGCAACTGCACTTTCTGTAGAAAAGAGGATGTTGACTTCTTAAAACTAACAAATCTTGTGCAACCTTTCCAAAGGATTTATTTTTTTTTCCTGTAGAGCTTTTAAAATTTGTTTTTAATTCAAAAGAAGACTTTAAGTCCCGTCAGTCCTGACAAACACTTCAAAGACTCTCAAAGCTCTAGATCTTCACTGAGATGCCAGTCTAGCCCTTCCCACTGCTTTTTGCTATTTAAAAGAGAGCTCTTTCCTTCTCTTGCCCTTCTGATGCTGCTGCAGTGTCAAGGTAGTAGTAGTTCCTTCCCTAGACAGTGCACTTGAAGTTTAGTGGGATCAGTGTTCAGAACCTGCTTTAGAAGAGTGCTTGTCAAAATGCTACCATAGACACGACCTTCGATGTAACATCAAACTTCAGATGAAATGTGGGCCTGACAATGTGTCAAAGTACAGTAGCATAAATAAGATGTTGGCCATAGGTCTCCCGATGACAGATGTAAGTGTAAGTATAAAGTGTGCTTTCTAAAAATAGTGTACATGTAGAAGGTGCTGGCTACCAGAGTGTGTCATAGATAACTGAAAGAATAAAAGCAGCATCAGCAAAATTCATTGTGAACGTGCAACATTTCAGGGCACCTGGATACTGGGGATCAGCTGGGGATGAAGTGGCACCTGTATGCAATACATCTCTCTGGAAGGACATGATACGGGTTGGAAAGTCAAGCTGAGGATTACATCTGGAATGTACATAGGCATGAACCCTAATGAAGATGAAGTGCTACTTTTTTTTTTTGCTTTTCTTTCCTCATAAAGGAGAGTTCTTCAAAGACTTCCTGATGTCCTAATCTCTGATGTTTTGAGATGATTATTTGCTATCAAGCCACTTCTGTATTGGGTGGTGGTGTAGATGTTTGCCTAGCAATTAGTCCAATAGACGATGTGACAAACAACTTGTTTCCAGTGTATATGCATATTTTTAGGTACCTTTGACCACTAGTTATTTACTGCTTCCCTGTTCCTCTTAGTTTTACTCATACTACCTGGCAGACTAAGGTACTAGTTAGACTGAGCAAAAGTGACAAGACCAATCATCAATGAGTGCTCTCTTAGCAACGAGAGGATCTGTTCTCATTGCAGAATTGGCAGCAGAGGTCTTGATAAAAACAAATGTGCAAGAAAGATAGCATGAGTGCCTTACAGAGAATTTGAAGGATCCAGGCTTGGTTAAAGCAAATCTCTTTCAATGGCAATGTGACCAGGGTCTGGCTGCATGGTCTGCTCATACCTGACCTTACAGTAGGAGATGTACGAGTTCATTGTCCAGAATGCTGTCTGTTACATCCTCCATGCTTCCCAGTGATCTTTACACATATAACTTAGTTAAAAGGGCTATGAATTATAGTGGCTCTTCATAAGAGAAAAAGGGTAGAATTTCTTAGTGATTTGGCTTTGTGTAATGAAAGTTTTTACATACAGTGTGGGCAGAAATTTCTCTGGATAGGTTTTTAAATTAGTCTCATAATGCTGCTCTCTTTCAGCATTGAGCTGCAGTGAATTTTCCAGTGAGATGTTAAAGGCTGCAACTATACTTTTTTTGTGCTGAGAATCAAATGGTCAGTTGAGGCAGAGAGAGAGGAGTTCCTCTTCAGGGTGTTGGAGAGTTGCAATATTATATTCCCTCTGCTCTATAGATCTACTGTTGATGCTGTAGAGGAAGAGAGCTGTAAATGCTGTTGGGCTTGGTGGTCTGAAGAGTGAACACTCCTCCGTTTCTCTAGGACCTAGCTTTTAGGTCCTAATAGTCCTGACATATCAGATGATGCAGTAGGATTGAAGCTGGTACTTTGATCTTCAGGGAAATTATGCTGAGCTATTCTTAGAGCATTTCTATTGTGTGTGGGGAGGAAAGTCTAGTTTAGGGAAATGACATAGCAGGCTATCAGTGCTGGTGTGAAACTGCTAGCAAGTGGAGATGGTGATGGAAAGTGTTAGGTGGGTTTTGCTGCCACACTGGTGCAGCTGACTTGTTCCCTCACTCACATAAAGGAGAAGTAGGACCTGCCATTGGGCTGCAGTGAGAATTAGGCTTTGTTGCGGAGCAAGAGTGTGTAACAGGAACGGCAAGCCTGAAGTGATGCCTTAGGCTGAGGTTTTACACAGAACTTCTGCAGAAGCCAGGGCAATGCTATTTTAACTTTCTAGGTGTGATCCTTAGCCAGTGTGAATGATTTCAGTGCAGCTGTTAGAAACTGTTAGAAAGGGGATGAAGGGGCCTTTGAAATATTGTGCCCTGCCACGGCCTGGGATTAGTTTTTAACAGCATACTTGGAGAATAATTATCTGATCTTGTATTCTCTGATGCCATCTTTGTAATACTGCACTGGCCTTAGCTTTAGGGGTGTTTGTGTTTGTTTTGTTTTTCTCCCTGTAGTGTCAGACCAGCAGTTCTTGAACAGACCTCAGCATAGAATATGGTTTTCCTCACTATCTTTCCAGCTGGGCTAATGCTAATATATGTAGAATGGGGGAGGGAGGGAGTTCATGTATAACGTAGCTACCTTTTGCTGGAGGATCTTGCAAACATTGCTGGAGTTTTGCGTGGGGAAAGAATGAGTAACAGCCTTGGTATGGGAAGAAAGCTCCAGCTATGGATCCATCCTAGAGAAACTCTTGTCTTGATTGTAGTACAACTCAAGTTTTCTGCACAGAATAAAGAGGACAAAGTGATTAGTCTACAACCACATTCTTGACAAGAAGTGTTTAAAAAAAAAAAAGTGTATAATTGAGCATAAGTACTCTAATATTTGTCTCTGTTTCCTCAGTTCCCTCTCTTTGTAAATTATAAAGTAGGGATTTCCCCAGAGTTATAATTTAATTTGACCTTCTAGTGGAGGAGCTTTATCACAACACTGATTCCAAATGAGCACGTGTTACCTCCAGTTTTGACTGGAGACTACAGTGAGTGCACGGCCACTGCTTGTGTGTCCTGTCCAGTCCCCCCAGCCACCTCCAGGGTTAGCTCTGCAAGAATAATTGGTGCCTCATCTTCTCTCCCACTCATATGGTCCCCCTTCTTCCTTATCAGTTCTTAGAGGACCACAGATGGGATGTGTGAGTGTCCTTTTGCTATGACCTCAGTGGTACACAGAAGTATGGGGGCTCCTGATGCCTGGCTCCAGCTTCTTTCACAGATTTGGACCTTTTTGGGGCTGTTCTTTAAACAATTGATCATTTGAAACAACTGCTTTGAGTGCTATATTAAAATGATGGTACCTCATCTTATGCATGTCGTATACAAAGTTCTTCACGCATGTGAAAATAAGGCTAATAATTAATTCTCACAGCTCTAGCTATGAAAGATGATTGCTTTTCTCTGAAAGGAGCATACTGATCTGAACAAACCAGGAGACCAACCAAGGGTGTTTTTCCTACAGCATTTTGAAAATATAAATAGATTGTGACATTTCTGTTTTATGAGGGCACTTGAAGTCCAGAGAGGTCAGAAAAGCCCATAGGTACTGAAGCTCTATTCACCTTCTGTTGTAGGTGCTGAGTCCATACTGGAGGTTTCTGCACAGCTGAGATCCGTCAGAGCCCAATCTTGCTTTCACACCAGCTTATTTTTGAAAACATTTCTAGTAGAACAATATGATACATTATGAGACGAGCAGCCCAGCTGATGAAGTGCAGGATGAAAGTGGCTCATCTCTTTGCTCTTTTACTTTAGATTTAGCACTGCAAAATCACTTTTCCCTGTGAAAGCACTCGATTTATACCAGCACTCCAGGAGACAGTTTGCAAGGCACTGAAAAATTTTGCTGTACTCTTGAGCAAACAGTCACTTTCCCCCACCACTGCCACGTGCACCATTTAGACGTGCTATGAGCACAGAGGCACTGATGGGAGGCTTCCTCCAGCTCTGTGCGATGGCAATGCTCCCTCCAGGAGAGAAACTACACTGGAGAAGAGAGTTCAAATGGGATAATCCAGAGAAGTTTCATTCATTCAGCCAGTGGAGGGTTTGCCAAACTAGCACCTTCCAAAATTTCTAAGACTTGTGTGGAGCTAAAGAGTAGAGAACCTTAAAGAGGTTACAGGTAGCAGACTTTTCCCCAGCTGGAGAGGCACCACTGGTGTCCTGCTGAGTGGATTGCTGGTACCTGGGTCCTGCCAGCAGGATGATGGGTCTTGAGGAAGCAGGAGGTATCTGCATAAGCAGTGGGGAAGATGAGTCACCTTTTTATTCAGTTGAGTGCAATGTGATAGGTGCGTTTGGCTTAGCAGTCAGATCTTGTAGGGTTGATTTCAAAAGCAGTTTGTTTTCTTTCCATTAATCTGTTAAGTGTTTTTTCTGCTTTATTGGAGGCAGAAGGAAATACAAGTTCATTCCACTCCATTCACCTTTAAAAATGTGTGAATGATGCATGGCTGATGGGGTGCTGATGCATCACCACTTCCCTGGGCTTTGCTGCATTCACTTACTCATCCACGTTTTTTCTGGCTAGAGCTGTCTGAACAAACTAGGTGAACCAGGACAGGATGACTGGCAGAGCTCTGTCACCATGCAGGGTGTTTTTTTTTTTTTCCTTATGCATAAAACAGTGACATCACTGCGAAGCAGACTTCAGTCTGAGTGCAGCTCTCTTCCTTGGCACATCCATGGATGAGGAATGAGTTCAGGACTTCTGTGTGCACACAGGTTGCGTAGCTGAGGAACAGGAGTAAGCATGACACTGTCTCCTAATCAGGGGTGAAACATTTCCTGCCTATCTGAATTTATGGTTGTGGTAGGAGTTGCACTGTCTTCAGGAGTTAGAGGTTAATCTTTTAGACATTGTTGTTCCCATCTCCTATAGAAACAATACTTGCGTTGCAGGAATGTGTGATCAAATTTATTTATTGCACCATTTAAATCAATTATGTTGTAATAACTTCTACCCTAAATAGGATAAGGTGCATAAAGCCATAAGATCCTTTTAAAATGTTTCTTTAAACTTATGATTTTCTCCTTGAGAAGTACAGGGCTGAAGTAAATGCACTGCCTAAGCGAGCAATGAAAATTACAGTCTAAAAAATCAAATGCCAAAATGCCCAAAGCTTTCATGACTTGGAACAAAAAGAAGAAAAGATCTGTCTCTATTTCAGCTGCCCACTGCTTTACCATATATGAAGGTGACCCTGCACAGCCCTTTTCCCATGTTTTATAATGGAGCAGGGCAGGCTGTAAGTGGTTGATGCCAAGGGGATAGGTTTTCAATTGGTTTCAACCCCAGGCATGTTCCCAGAACTGCTGGCACTGTGCATCCCACCTGGGGGCCTGGCAGCCAATGTGCAATCATCACCTGCTGTCAGCGAGCCTGTTACGTGCCTTTGACCTAGAAAGATAATAATATCCTGATAACAATAACAGAGCTTGTGTGAGATGATGGATTCTGCCATGTGCAAGAGCTGGTCTTGAGGGGACCTGAACTGGGAGCTATGTAGGTTTTGTGATCCAAAGGAAATAATAAGCATGTGGCAGCTCTGTACCAGCATGGCTCTGTGTCTACACTCCTCTTTCTGTCTCTGCCCCTCTCTACCTGCCATTGCTTTCCTGGGGTCATCCATAGTGGCCAATACATCATCCAAGGCTGACCTTTACAGATATAATGTCATCTCTGCCCATCTGTAGCAGAGTCAAGGGCACCACCTTCTTTGAACAGCAGGTAGAGAAGATGGTATCTGCTCAAACAAAATGCAGCTACTCCTAAAATGTTTCCTCAGTGACTGTGCTGAAGCCCACTTAATCTAGAAAATAAGTCATCAGTGCTCTGCTGATAATGTGCAAGAGCAGGGGAGATATATAATGAATAGATGATGTTTGATCTTTAGGGTGATTCTTCATAATTACGCATAAAAAGCTAAGTGGAAAAATGACCGAGTGAGGCTTCTCTCTGCACTTGATGACTTTGGCTCCTGGGGAAAGCCTTTGAGTCACCCTTATGCAGGTCTAGTATGTGAGAGGAGCAGAAGAAGAATGTTAGAGTCATCCTAGGTGCAAAACCTGTGGAGTAATGCATAGAAGGAGCAGGAAGTGTCGTGTTTCCCCATAAGCAAAGCAGAAGCAAATCCCCTATATGAAAGGGGTGTTTCTTGTGAGGGAGAATATCAAATCTAGTGATAACCAAAGGAAGCTTTTCTTCTCTTATGGCCATGAGTGGCTCAGAATTAGATCAGGTAGAGAAACTGTAAGTGTGCTTCATCCATCATACATGTCAGCTTTTTGAAAAGTCATCTCTGCAATAAACAGAAAAGGTTATCTTCCAACTACATAAAGCTTTGTCCAGTAAACAAACTTTTTTTTTTGAGGAACTCTCCTGCCAGGGAATAGGGGAAAGATCCAGCTTTCAATCAATGTCTTTTACCACTCTATTTTTTTTTCCTGTTCATTTTCCCATTTGTTCCTTTCAATCACAGATTTCCTTGTTCTTTCTCTTGAACGAACTTTTACAAAAGATGAGAGTACAGGAAATAAGGCTAAAGAGTGTTGTCTACTGGTCCTCCTCATCTTTGAGCAGTTACCTCTGAGTCAGTATTTAGTATCAACTAGGTTTGATTAAAAAGACGGATGTCACAAATACATTTACCCAAATACAGTAAGCTTTATGAGAAATGAAAGCTGAAGATCAGCTAATGAAGAAAAATCAATAGTTGGATAGTTTGCTACTTTGCACGTGGTACACAACTGGACTATCAACATAAAACGTGTATCTTTTAAAACCGTGATCTATACTGCTTCTTGCAGGGAGGCAAGTGGAGCCAGGACAGCTGGCCTGAATTGGGGAAGTGGTCATTCCATACTGTATAATATCACATGGAAAGCTATAAGCTGTGGGGAGTTGGCCAGGGAGCAGCTGCTGCTCAAGGATTTGCAGTGTTGTTTGGTGGGGGGTAAGCTGTTGCCTTGATAGCATGGTGTTGGTTGGTGGGCAGATGTGGTGTTAGTTGGATGCTGGTTGATGAGTAATTGCATTGAGGCTACATATGTTCATATCATTGTATGTTTGTTTCTGTTTTCCTCTTCCGTCTTAGTAAATAGTTTTTATCTCCATCTACAATTTCTGTTTTTTATAGTTCTCTCCTTCATCCCACTTACTGGGGAGAGAGCAAATGTGTTGTTGAGCTGCCTGCTGGGTTAAACCACATCAGATTACCAGATTGGCCAATGCTGTTACTGACGGAGGTGACAACAGTGAAATGAGCAGCAGGAACTAGGCTGAGTTGTTCTTTAGGTCTCATGGTTTCTTGGTAATTTCAGGAAGTCAAAGACTGGAGAATCATATGGCTTTCTTAAAATTTGTTTTTTGATGTCTTGTGCGAGAACTTTAAATATATATATAGTAAACAAAAGAAAAGGGAGCTTTCCTTTTATTAATAAATTTCAATTTGAAAGTGCTGAATCTTTTATTAAGGAAATGTAAAAAGCAGAAGTTCCAAGGAAGATGTGTGAATATATTTTTCTGGTAAATAATTCAGCAAAAAATCAAGTTTGTGCAGAATTACTAACCTTGTTTTTACTCAAAGACAATTCCATGCAAAAAAAAAAAAANCCAAAAAAAAAAAAAAAAAAAAAAAAAAAAAAAATCCTCCAAGCTCTTGTCACAAAGTCTTTAGTCATATCTGAACCTGTTGTTCATTTTCCCATGCTGTCTTTTAGATCTGGCTGTATTTTCTAGATGACGAGTTAATCATAACATTGGAAGCCAAGGGCTCATGAACGCTAGCCTATTTCTGGCACTAAACTCTGCGTGGAGCTCAGTAGGCAACTCTCATATAGTTACTTGCAGACCCCTGGAGGTTTACCTAGATTTATACAGCAATGTGAAGATGCCTGTCAGACTTATCACCAACTAAGAGTACAAACGCAACTAACTTTGAATAACACTTGTAAATTCAAGATAGGCAATACTGCACATGTGGGCAAGCAATTTTGAGCTTTAGTACTGGGTGTGGTTATGCTCTGTTTCACACTCTGCTCAGACTTCCTGTGTTATTTTAACAAGTTGCTCAACTTTGAGTGCTTCAGAACTGTGTGTGTACTTACATGTGTTGTTTTTGCTAGTCCTCAGGAGACTTTTATTGTACTGTGGTTATAGCAGCCATATAAATGCTTAAATAGGTAGATGCAATTAGTTCACCAATTCTTCCATTCCCTTGTCCCAAACATGTGTTTGAGCTGTGCTGAAAAGCTGGTAGTGTAGGAGCTGGGATCCTGTGTTCAGCAACTACAATCAATTTGGTTAAGAGCATTTGAAAGAAGAATTCTACCAGTGTGTAAATGATTATATTTTAAATTATTGTTTTAATTTTGAGGAGAGACGTTCAAGCACTTACTTGTAGGATCAAGACAAATTGTCAGCATTGCTTCTCCTGGTTGTGCTTAGCAGCTGTATGCTATGCCTTTCTCTTATATTGACCAAGGACTTCACAGAGATTAGCTGAATCTCCAAGGAGAGCACGATGCTGCTTCGCTCTGCAGATGAGAGCAAGTCACAAACCTCCTTTGACCCTTCTTTAGTATGACACGGAAATCTTTAAATCCCCTCACTTCTTAAGCAAGCAAACGCATAGTGAGTAGTGCAGTTTTCTTTCTGCTCTTCCAGTCTCAGCTCTTGCCCTGTCCTGCTGGAAAAGAAGACCACAGCTGAAGCAAAGGTCTGCGATGTGGAGGCTGAGGTGGATATTTCCAAAATCGTGTCAGAAGGACCACAGCACAGTATCAGAACAAACAAGTTGTCCACAGCTGTCAAGCTTCACTGAAATACAGCACGAGCACACTTATTTCATTCTTTTTTGGATAAACCTGCATTCAGTCTTAAAACTGTTAATGTGGTCAGTTCCAAATTGACAGTCTCATCATAGCTTTGAAGCAAAATAATGTAATCCAGATGAATGACTGTACATCAGATGTTGGTAAGGCTAGATCACACCCAATTCACAGTCTGAGTACTTTTCCTCAGAATTTGTTGATAAAATGTCTGTCAAACAGATGGGGAAAAGGTGCTTTTCCAAGAGTACTTTGTTGGGGTTGGGGATGCTGAAAGGAGAAGCGGAATTCCTCAACTCAAAAAAAAGGGAATGCTCTTCCTAAAAGTAGCTGGGGAGGGTCAGAGACTCTGTTACTGTGTAACTGTTGCCTTAAAGCTAAGGTAATTTGAAAGACAAACATGAGAAGAGCTGAGATCGTCACAGCTGGAAGCGCTGTGTAGTCAAGGTGTTGGTACAGAGGATTTCAGAAAGACCTGTAAAACAGTGTGAAGATCCAGGATATGTGCCTTACAGTGAGGAAGCAAGGTTTTCAATCTACGAGCCTTCTTTAAGAAGTGGTGAAAACTAAGTCGTTGATGGCTTTTGTTCTTCCAAACAATGCATCTAACTTCTGAAAGGTTCTATGCAGCAAGAAAAAGGGAGTAATCCAATGAACAAATACTGAAATTAAAAGCAGGCAGGGAAGGAACACAATCTTCAGTGGCATTGTCACTGAAAAGAAGCTGGCTGCACCTCATTAATGGGGATGTGCCATTCCTGAAAGACACACTCTACCAAGGGCTTGATCTTGTTCATTTACACAGTAAGAAAGTAGTTAGAAAAAGAATCTATTATGTGGTGAAATCACATTGTCTGAGTTGTGAAGTGTCAGAGTAGATAGCTGTCGCAGTCATTTTTGGAAAAAATAAAAAATTACAGGGAAGGCTTTGTTTATAAATGCTTTATATTCCACACTGACTAAGCTCTAGGTAGCTCTGCTGGCAGTTGCTGTTGTCTTTATTGATCTGTGGTGCTCAGCAGGAGTTTATTTCAAGACTTCTCTTGCTCATTTAAGAAGTGGTTATTCTTTTTTGTTTGTTTTTATTGCAAAAATGACTAATAACACTTTCCTGGAGACAGTCCTGATAAAATAACCAAAGATATGAAACCCAAATTCAATTAAACTCGCACAGCACACAGATCAGCTCTGATTTAATTACTTCTCATGTTATGTAAATGAAATTTCTTACTGCAATGAAATGAATTTACTATTTTCTCATGGCAATGCTTTACTGCTTTTTCTGCCTTCAAAACCACAGATTACTGAAAATTCAGAGGTTGAGTTGAGGAGTTAATCTTTCATGAGTGTTCTGAGGACACTTGGCTCATTTGTGATCTGGTTGTGCTTAGCCCCTACATGGTGCTCCCTGATTAAGGCTGTATGACAAAACAGATGAGGATTACATCTGCCTAATATACAATCTTAGATGCAAACACTCCAGCATTTTGGGGAATTTTGATTCCAAATGCTGCATTTGTATGAATTTGTCACCAACTTAGGATCCTGCAATTTGAAAGATGCTTAAATAGTTTGTTGCATACTTCTGAGGTGACAAGAAATATTTCTTCAGTCTGCTGCCTATGCAGCTCATAGACAACCCTCAGTCCACTTAAGTATAGCATACTAATCCCCTAAATTAATAACTTCTGCAGCTTCTGCTTGCTTTTTTTTTTTTTTTTTCTTAGATACGGTGTATTCCTTTCTGCAGAGCTTCTGTGACTAAGATGTTCTGGGACAGCTTCCTGTAGATAGGCAGCAGGAGTGCACCAACAGTGAAGGAATTGCTGCGAAGCAGAGCAGTGCCTATGGCTAGTTACTAAATTCAGTTCTCTTGTATCTTAATCCAGTGCCTGAGCCATAAATCTATTCCTTTCTCCTAGTCAATTCCCCTTCTTCAGAATGCAAAGCTGTTTCTCCTGATATCCACTGAGCTGACTACCAGAATAGGGCAGATAGTTCTTAATCAGCTGTGAACATAAAATCCTGCAAATTTGGCTTAGCCTACGAGAAAAAAGATCTTGAGAAAAGAAATTGTGTGCAATCAATGAGGAAAAAATTATATCCTTCCCATATACCTGAGTGAAACTACCACTGGGGAAAGCAAAGAGCGTTCTGGAACCTATCTGCCTATCTGTCCCTTGCAAAAACATGAAGTTTCAACTGATGTTAACTTCAGCAGAGTAAGCAAAGTGCTGTATTTATATCAGTAACACTCTTATTCTTCTGTTGGAAAGCAGAAACATACAAGAAGTCAACAGTCTCTTCAAGCTGCATTGATTGGCACAATAGCTGTGAAAATTAGAATGCTTTCTAAATATGCAATTAGAGTGTGTGCTTTCACACAGAAGGGCTGATTCGTTCTTTTCCCTTCTTGGGCTTTCATCCTGCACTCATTCTTCAAACTTTTTCACACTGAGCCAAGAGTGCTAAAGTTCATCTAAGCGTGGTTTTACAACCAAAGAGAATGGCTTACCGAATCGCTATCAGTCTGAATGGCAATCCCCACTGTTTGTTTGTTGCTGGATGCCTTGCTGGTTTAGCAGCATGGAAACAAATATTCTCAAAAATCTAAAGCATCTATGCTGCCCATTTCCTGGAAGCTATAGAAATAAATTCTTGCTTTTTGTGCAGACAGGTCCAACCTTTTGGGTAGGGCAACTATCACAGCAGCACATGCGTTTGCTCAGGGGTGAGACAAATCACTTGGGAAGTAGGGTTTGTGCTGGCTCTGTGACCAGTCCCACTGGGGATAGGAAGTTCTAGCCAGGTATGGGGCCAACAAGGCCTTGAACTGAACAGGGAAGATGTTTTGGGACTAGCAGAGAATAGTCAGAGTTCACTTGATGCTCTGCTGCTGGCTGTGGGTAGACGTTGTCCCCCAATACCATGCATGGATCCTGCAATAATCCTGCAGCTTACAGCGTGAAAGAGGGGACCAAACAGAGCATAAACTATTCAAACTGCACATGGTTTCTGTAGAACACAGGCAGCTGGGCAATCCCAGACTGACACTGGGGCAACTGCTCATCTTTCCTGCTAGGAGTTGCAGCCTATCTGTTTTTCCTACTTCTCCCCCTGACACAGCTTTTCTTTCAGACACTGTATTGTTTAATTGCACCAGACCATGCAGGTCTGCTGCCGTGGATCATAACCTCATGGTAAAAGGGCAATCCCTGTGCAAAACCCGTGTGCCAGGAAGGCTGCAGGAAAGCCTATGTGAGGCATAAAGGGGTGAGGTGTGCATGCTGCTAATCTGAATCTTGGAACCGTTTTTCCAATAGGATGCTAGATGGAAATGCATCTGTGTAATTTGCATTCATATTCTCTGTGTTCTTTAAAAATAGGTGATTTGCATACAGACTCTTCTTACGTGTGATTCTCTACTTGGCACATGATATGCAAAGCCAAGATAATACTTCCCTTCTTTTGTGAGACTTTATTAATGCATACTGGAAGAAAAAATAGGAAAAAGGTTTGGGGAAAATTGTCTATTACAGAGCATTACCTTCCTGGTCATTGTTGAGTTACCAGCATAAGACAACTTAGGTCAAAGCTCCTTGTTTCAAAAGGAGCAATAAGAATAACTACTCTTGTTTCCTGTGGTTGTAGTTTGTCTTTCACTCTTATTTTGGAAATAAAATTATAGAGTTTATTTTTATTCCCACAGAACTGTGAATTTGCTGAAGTGTAGACAATTTGCTATCTAAACTTTGTTTAAATAAACATAACACAGACCAGCT